CTTAATATTGCTTGTAGCTGTCAGAGACAAATCATGTAAAGCTGTATCCAAGCGCATTAACCAAGCCAGATAAAATCTTGGTCTTTTGAGATTGCAGAGTAGTGAGCACATACACAGTGAATGCTCAGGATTTATGTATTGTGTTGGTTTTGTTTTACAGGGTCAAAAGTTTTCTAATTTCAAAAGCAACTTCAAATCTTTTTTTGGACTGAGGATGTATCATTTTGGTTTGAAATGTGGTTTTGAGCACAAATAGGCTTTTGTGAGACGTGCGGATTCTGTCGTGATGTTCCTGGATTTTTACATGCTGTATTCTGATAAAAACAGCAGACAGATTGTATTTCTTTGTCTGTTAGAAAATTTGGAAGATTTTTCTTAGTTATCTGGGAATTTAGGAAGGAACCCCTTTGAGAGTTACAATATGCCTCTGTGGTCAAGAGTAAGTCAGTTGTGTAACAGCTCTATCTAATACTCCAGCTGGTAGAGAAGAAGGTGCTCTGTGGAGAGCTGGGTTTTGCTGTCATGAGGCTTAGTGATGTACTTCTGGAAGTGTTTCTTCAATACGTTACTTGTTTCAAGTTTATGGACTACAAAAAGAAAAAATGAGTGCTAGCAATGCTGTATTCATTTTTTGCATATCTTTTATTTATCTGTAGGCTCACACTTCCAAGGGCAAAGCAACACCAGTGCTTGTGGGTGCAACTTGCATATTTGGTTTCTAGTTGTGCTGGGTACAAGGAAAAATGACTCAGGTGATGAAACAGCAACTGGCAGTGAGACAAACTGTGGAAGTAACTTTAGCTGCCCAAAAGCAGTTGTTTTACAAATTTATGTGACCTACATGTATATATACTTATATTTACAGACACAAGCTGATTCTATAAAATGTGTGTGGAATTCACTTACACCCATGACATGTCTGATACACATCAGATGGCTGGCGTGCTGACAGTATGGGAAAGTACTTGCTTGTGAGATGTACAGCTCTCATCCATCTCTGAGAACTGTGGCCTGAGGCCTTTGTGTGTTTCCTATACTCAGTGGGTTCTGCTGGGTACATATGGATGACAGAGGAGTATTCTTGGTTATTTTTATTACTGTATGATGAATGAAAATTTACCTTGTTATTTTAAAATAATACTTTATCAGGGGCATCTATTGCCTCCGTGATAAAATACACACAAAACTACCTTTCAGACAAGCCAGCTGTCTAGGGAACAGATTATAGATGGAAGGTTTTTTTATTGTACTACCTTTTTTCCCTAC